AAAATCTCAGAACAACCTTTTATGACGAAAGTCGGGATTTCATCGGGTCCGACGCATTTCGTCGAACGGAGACGACTAATTGCCCGCGTAACATCATCAACAGAGATACGTGGAATATTCAAAACATCAGAATAGGCGAAGTCAGAACTAGTCGTAACATTAACGCAAGAAGGGGAGTTAAAAACAGAACGAAAGCGGTCAGCAAAAGCCTCAGCGATTGCCTGGGGTTCCGTGATAAAACTGTCTCCAACTTTAATTTGTGTAATCGACTGGTCTTTCTTTTTGAAATTAGAAATATATTTCCAAAAGTGCTTTGGTTGGGTTTTCAAATTTTCTTCAATAGTTTTTAACCAAACCAATCTATCTGATTTAATAGTCAATTTAACTAGTTTACGATAGTGGGAAAAAACGCTATAATGATAATCAGATTTAGATTTTTTGAATTTCTTAAGAGATGCATTCTTCTTTCTAATGTAATAGACAAGAGTTTTGGAAAACCAATGAGGAAATGCAGAATTTCTGGGTTTTACAAGGGGAATAGCTAGGTTGATGGCCTTCGACACAGTAGCCGTGAGATTATTAACTGCAGCATCAACCGAGCTTTCATTAAGAACGCAAGACCAGTCAGAGTTTTCTAGGGTATGGTAAAGTAATAAGTAGTCTCCTTTCCCGTAATTGCGTCGAGGAGTAAGCGAGGTATGTTGCTAGTCAAGACTTAGTTTAAGATTAAGGACAAGAGGCGGATGATAGTGGTCAGGAGGGACCAGCGAGTGAGGAGAAAGGGAAATGCTGAGATCGCTGAAGTTTGTAAAGACAAGGTCGAGCAGGGCATTGTTAGGAACGCAGTCGTTGCGCTGATTTAGACCAAGAAAGCAGGAGGTGGCGTAAAGAGAATTTCCTTTAATTTTGCTATAGTAATAACAATTAGAGGAAGGGGTGCCGTTTAGCCAGTCAAAATTGGGGACATTAAAATCTCCTAACATGACCACCCGATAGAGATGCGAGTTTAGGTTTACTTCTAAAGTGTTTAGATAATTTTCAATTGCTTTTATATCACAATCCGGCGCAAAGTAATGATTCCCTATAAGTAGACTGTGGTTGTCTCTAACAGGAATTTCAATCCACACACACTCTTCAATCGTGATGATATGGATTATAACTTTTCAAGAAAGTATCGTTTGTGATAAAGAGTCGTACAACCTGAAACTGGAGTTTACATTGAAGTGTGTGGCTTCATATTCTGCTTCTTACATCTTACACCTTTGCGTGCTTAAAACTCTGGTTCAGTTCAATACGTTTTTTGTAAAACAAACGACGAGACTGGATATGTTAAAAGAAACCATTTATTTTCTTGTTTGAACAATACGAGCGATTCTACAACGATGGAATCAATATTTATACATATTTAATCTAACATCGCATTGAGTTTTTGTAACTGAACGAGTCCTGTCCGTCATAATTAATCAGTTAATCGATTCGAAATTTTTAGGCTTCCAGTTCTGCAGTATACACTAGTTTCAATAACAAATAACAATTTTGTATTTAAAGTACAAATAATAAAATAAGTCTGCAATATCAGACCACACTTGTATTTGAAATTTAGATTTGTTTTGTTAAGACTACAAGGCAAGTGACGCACTAATTAGAACAAAATTACCACCCTTAAATGGGAATCAGTGTGCTTATTTCAAATTACCCCTTATTTGTCATAAAAGAAAGCAGGAACTTTTGGAACAAATATTTAAACAATGAAGGAATCATTAATGTTTTCAAATTCCTTGTTAAATATTTAAGAATAGATATTAGGAAATTGGCATTATAAGTAAAATATTTGCTTCATATGCATATGTTTATCAGACGTAAATATTGCAACAATTATTTATACATGTTATTCACGAAATAATCTCAACTACGAAAACACACAAACTCCTTTTCCTCCAGTTTATGTAAAGATTTGTAATGAAAAAACAATATTTATCTATTTTCTTTGAAGAAACTTAAGACATCTGTGTTACACTTTCAAACACCTCTGATTAGATCACAAAATCTGTAGCGTCAAGTTTCTTATCTACTATTACAAAATATCCGAAACATGAGACTGACTTACCTGCTGTGATGATGGCACTGTATTTCCACCGGAAGTGACTGACAATTGTGACGAGGGCGTTGGCAGTAGCCGACAAAGACGGCACAAGCCTGTAGAACGTGGAGTACTTATTTCTATCCGACAGAGGGCTCTGTTGGGAAGACAAATTCTATTAGAATTGCGTGTCTGTTTATATGCCTAAATAATTACAAGATCAGTGATTTTAAGAAACACGTTCAAGTTTTGAATGCGCCCGAAAGGGATTTCTTTGCTTTAGGTGACAAAATCTCTGCTCCGTGGAGTTGGGAGTTTCAAAATTGAAATATGAGAATAACCATGTATATGTAGCTACGATGTCCCCATTTTGTGTTCACAGTTTCACTGTATGCGCTTCGTACAAAGAGTGGGTAAAAACAGTAACTTACGAGGGCTCCAGTAGAGTATGTTGCTGGCGAAAACGCAATAGAATTAATGTGTTGACGTTCAGTGAATGAAACGCAATCGAGGGTCAGCTGCTATTCTCACCGCCTCTAGAGCAAAAGAATTATATGCAGACAGCAGAGAAAACTGGACCGGGGTTAAATGCGGCTGGATGAAAGTGAAAATTAATTGCAGGCGTTGACTGATAGCCCATCTGGACTTGGATGAAAGTGCATTTAAAACAAAGTTTTTACTGGGGTTCCTCGACTTTGTGTGACGTGAACCGAAGTGTGAAGTGATGAAGTAATATTGTGGAAGGTGATACGATCTTTTCAAATGTTGGTAACCGAATACAAGACGAGACGACGTCATAACCCAGAAGAACACAAACGACATACTCACCTCAGTAAAAAATTTTAAATCTCAGGGACCTTTACTAATAACAACAAAAGTTCAATTTCTGATAACTGTTACATTGTTTTACAGCTTTCTTCTTTACTTTAATTCAATATTAAATATGTGGTAAGCACACAATTTAGAAAAAAAATTATGTTGTGGATACAAAATTCTAGTCGGAGACCTTGGAAGGAAGAAACCAGTGGGAAACGTAGTGCCGACGGGAGGATAATATTAAAATTGACCTTAAAAGAGGTTGTGAATAAACTGGATGAAACTAGATAAAGATACAGTAAATTACAGTACAGCTGAGTCTTCTGTGAACAGAGCAACAAATATTGACTATTTGAGCGACTATCAGTTTCTCGGTAAGGACACTCCACTCAGGCCTGATCAGGTACTTATTTATTGCTAGTAGAGTACAAGGGTATCTGCGCTTTTAGTAGTCGTAATTAAATTGAAAGACGATAAAAAGGCTAGAACCACCACCCAAAAATGGGGAATGATAATGGAGATTGCCCACCAGCAAGTAAAGTAACAAGACAAAATTGAATTAAAACACTCTTCAAAGTTCATTAAAACTTAATATGAAAGAAAGGCGGAAGAAAGGTGGTATTCGTTCAAGAAATGCGAGATCAAATGGTAGAATACGGGGCAATAAGGAAATTGTCGACACGAAATTTACAAAGGAGTTCAATCTTCTGGGCCTCTGTTCGTCCTTAAAAAGTGAGAGCAAATGTTTCTCGAATTTACCAGCAGAGACATTCTCATCCCTTACGTTAAACACGGTTCGTGCGTGATTCTGTAAATTTCATTACAATTCCTTCACTGTATTGATCCAGTACAGCAGCCATGTTTTCTAAAATATCAGCAATAATAGCCTTTAATGACGGTAGTTCGACCTTTACAAATCAAAAGGCTTTTCGTGTTTTGGATATTACAGAAATTGTTGTCAGATTCTTGGGATGTGAAATAAATTCATAAAATATTACTAAGATGTTAACTATTTAATTTATGTTATATGAAAGACGAACTAATTAACAATTCCACAAGATGGGACCTCTTTAGAAATGATAATAATTATTCACCCGGTTAAGAAAGTCCGTGCTGATATGATACTCACAAAATCCCGCCACTCAATCGTAATATGATTTGTTTGAATTATTCCATACCTTCACACCACATTTCTCCAACATTTATCTCAACAATATGCTACTCCTACCTGATCCAAGTAATGTCGTCCCTTGAAGTACTCCGAACAATATTTTATATGCATTTATAACTTCCCAAGTATTTTACATGACTAACTCCGCGGAGCAATGTTCGTGCTAAAAAGCTAACAGTACGCTCAGATCGTCAAGAAATTCCGCGTCTTTTATGGGACCCGAAAGTTTATTACCGTGTTCACAAGAGCCCAACCATGCGTGTTACACATCCCATATATTTTCTCCTCCTTGATAATAGGTAGAACTGCTTTGCGGAAACACGGTACAGCGAAACCCAAAAAGCGAACTTTAACAAGAACCAATGCGGTTATATGAAATAGAGGAATTTGGGCTACAAGTATTGATTTAATCTAGTGAAAGCACCGTTTGACTCGTGTTATTATTAGGGCAAACTGAAGAGCGTTGTTAAATAGATCTTACATAAAAACACAGATTTACAAAAGGATTTATAAGTAATATTGCGCATGGTGGAGTAAAGACTTCTAAATCGGGGAGAAAGAACTGAATTTAAATCACCACAAATGAAATGTTGGAAGAGAAGCTTACGACCGAAAGCATGGAATTTGGTAACAAAAACAAAATAAAGAAAAGAAACCAAAGTAAAAGGAATCACTGTGTAGAGACTAGAAAATAAAATGGCTCGGTTAAGAGAAAGGTGGGAGAAGACGAATCGCGAAAGCAGTTAATTCAATTTACACCAACTACAAAACGTCTGAGGTTGAGACGAACACGGAGAGTTTAGAAATTTCATAACAGGCATAGAAGAACATAATATGAAGGACCAGAGCTGTCCTCTGAGGAGTACGCGAAAGGTGAATGTATGGAAATAGTCACGACCAAAAATAATAAGACAAATATCAAATAATTTCAGTGGGGTCTGAATAAAGCCGCTTGCTTATTTTGACAGTCATAAACATTTTATATATATATTCCCGTTCACCAAAGAATAATAATTCAATATGTATGCTCATTTTGATACATTTCTATTGCAACGACATAATTTATACATATATGAAACCCTCGGCTCTTTGCTCAGTAAGTTATTCTTGTCATATTCCAATGCAAGATTCCCAAAAGGAGATTACCGTCACAAGAAATTCTTCTTACTGTGAAATAGTTAGACATGTCCACATGAATATACTGATATGTCACTTCGTAAACGATGTTCGTTATGTGTCGGAATTTCATTCACTTTTATCTTAATACATTGTTAGAAAAAAGAAGAAAATTCCAATAAGATGTCTCTCTTTATCTTCACCTTAATACTTACTATCTGTCTGATGCACTCTGTTAAGTTCCGTTAAACAACAGTCAAATAGAAACGATTACAAACTGAATATAACAAATGCGTTGAATAAAATTTGAGAGAGTTGCTAAATGTTTTCACATAAAAAATTGTAAATATATCTCTTAAAGTCGTCGATTTGTAGGAGAATCCCAAACCTATCAAACTGTTGAAAGAATCAATCGATTCGCCTTTCGAAGCCTCTAGAATCAAATTCTGGACATCTGGATAGACGGCACGACAACAGGTTAATCATCTACCTTAAAGTTTGCTGATTTATCCAAAGTGTCTCTTAAAATTATTTTGTACTTTGGAAACGTTTGTATAACTTGCGTTACATTTATGGAACGAAAATTCATATGAGGTCAAAAATGACATTAGGTACTGAAAAAGTTGGGTTAACACTAACGTTGTAAGACTTGAGGTTCTCACAGCGGTGAGTATGAAGATATCTGTCTTCTGGGTTATTGCACTAACACTAACGTTCTTTGCAAGGGTCTAGGCTAGAACTTAAAACACTTGGGAAACATTCTGTAATATATTAATTATTATTTTTTTACGTTCAGGAATGCAATACTACATTAATGGTCCATATAATAAAATTGGATCGCAAGGTATCAGAACATAAAGGTAAAGATATATACACAAGATAGAAGGAAAGACGTAGGAGATGAAGGTTGTATGAGGAAACATGGAAATAGAAAAACTCAATAAGAAGACTAGACTAGACATCATTTATACTTTCATAACGACTGAGAGGTGGGGGTGTAGGATGTGATTTCTATTTAATTCCGTGAGGATTTTTGACATTCCAAATAGAGCGTTCCATGACTAAAAATCCAATAATTCTTTGGGAAAATTCCATTCTATTCTAATTTTAAGAGCGCCTATATATTGAGTACGTAAAATATTTTGAATTTCTCAGCAACCAACATAATTCCACATGCCAAAAAATTTCTAAGAGAACAAAGAATGAGGTTAGCGCAAAGACATTCTTCCAAGATGTGCCTGAAGTGTGCTAGTCTCTGTTCTACCTTCACGGGATATTTCTCGAATGTAGATAAGTCTGAGAACTCATCGAGAAAAACATGTATCAGTTTTCTCTTAATATTTCGCATAAGGTACTTAATATTCCATAGTATTATTAGTATAGGTTTATAAGAATTTCACGGCCAAATTTTCTTTGTGTAAACTGGCTGGATCGAGAGGCTTGTGATTCATCTCAGTCCAGTTACAGGAATTATACTGCTCTGACTTTTACCAGCACGTCCCCTATACAACTTTACGGCGTGATGCTTTATCCCAGGGGCCACATCCACTTCTTAAACAATTCTGTCCAAATAATAATACTGAAGAAACTATTCATGTTTAAAAGTTTCGTTGTTAAATATTTCAAAATTACTGTTAAGAAAGTGTTCTGTATTTAGACTACTACTAGGAATGAAATATTTACTTGATACGTGCTTATAGGAAGTACATACTATATGTTATTCGTGGAAAAGGTTTTATATTCCCTTCATTACAGAGACAGAGTAAGCAGACATAAAGTACGGCAAATCACTACGACTAGTGACTAAATTTTAACAAATATCATCATAATGGCGTGTTAACAGAAAGCTGAACCAGGGTAGCTCAGTCAGTATAATTGTTGGACGGTTCGATTTCAATTTCGACATGGATATTCTTTTCTTCGCCATCATTTCCAAACCGTCTCTGAGGTCCGTCCAACTTCGTACATAAGGGGTGCTGTGATTTCTTTCTTAGGAATAAAGCGACAGTAGCGTGAAGCTGACGACTTACCTCCACGTAGTGAAAAGTGTAA